TGATTTCAAAACCCACATGCATAAACAATTTTTCCTATAACACATTTTCTAACATTTCTTTCAGTTTGGAACTGAAAGCTTAAGAGTTTTGGGGGAAAGATGGTTCTCGCATTCCTTCCCAGAAGGAATATACTGAAGACCTCCTAAAAGAGCAACCTATAATTGTTCTAGGCTGCTTAAGATAGCAAAGTGAGATAGCTCTGACCTCATTTTTATCTTTCTTTGTACACATCAATGCTTTCAAGTGTACAATTCTATTCCATTTTTTGGATTATTGTCAGTCATATTTCTCCAATGCATTCAGAAAGACTGAAATTTAAAATTAACTCAGAGAACTTAACATGATCTCCAGTGTATGTCTGAGAAATACCTATAGTTATTCCGAAATATTGTGGGTTTCCGCACTTTATCAGAATGAAGAATTGCAAGGTCCAAATTTCTGCCTTCAGGTACTTGATCTTTAATCACATTTGACATTTGTGACTGCTACTTTCACAGATCTGTATGAAAAGCAGAATTTGCTTGTAATATAGTATATATGTCAGGATTTCTAGCTTTCTGCTTTCAAATGAGAGCGCTTCAAAATGTTCGTATCAGAATCATGCTTTCCCTGTTAAGTTTGGTGGAAGTTGTAGATACATGCTGTTCTGCTAAAAAGTTCTCTGGAACTATTTATTATTTATATTTTCTGAATTTATTTTTAAATGCTTTGCCTGACTGCACGTATGGTTATTAATTTTTAAAAAAAAATGTTGTTGGTTGAGACTAAAACATGATTTTAGCTCAGAAATACATTGACTAATTTTTCAGAATAGTTTTATATTCTTTATTTTTATGATGATGTATAAAGAATATTATAATTTTTAAAATCATGTTTTGAAATCAGCAATTTATTTGGTTTTTTATAAAGTTAAAAATTAGAGTAGAATCCTCAGCGGTTTTCCACCTTCAGAAAAGCAAACAGATTTCATCTTGCCGTTTAAAAAATGCTTAGAGAGAGCAAAACGATTACAGAAAGAGAGAATAATTATATAGGAACACTTCCTTAGCATTTCTTTTCAGGGGCACAACTTATATTTTCATATACGTGACTTTTGTAGATGACACACAGAGGGTTGTTGTGGAATTGTATCTATGCACTCTTGCAAAGTGATTAAACATTTCCTAAAGCCTACTGATGCACAATGGATGAGGCTTACGGCTACTCAGGATGCTATTAGCTATGCAAACAAAGATTGAGTTTCACAAAGGGAGGACAGATTAATTATTTGGCCAGATCAAACTGTCTGTGTTAGTTAAATACTTACGTAGATGTTGATTCTGGATTTCTTCAGTAGCACCATTTTCATACAAACCTACACATCTCATTTTTACAGACAGAAAAAAGTTTAGAAAATGGTACAAATTTGTCTCAGGTATAATTCAGTCTACTTAAGTAATGTACATTTGAGCTGACTTTGGCCATTTCTGTCCTCCTGTATGATTTTGTGGGAGCACTGAAGTGCAGTTCAGCTCTTGTTGGGCAATGTGTGCCACCAACACCATGGAAGTGTGCCCTTAGCTGTATGAATGTGTAAATCTGCTGATGATCTGGAGTCTCAAGTAGGTGCAACAGCCACAATAAGAATATTTTTGATACTGTTCAGCTGTTCTGTCATTTCTTTCTTCTTGAAAATTGCTCTGAGCGTTTTATAATAATGTCTTTTTTAAAATATCAGTTTAATCAGGAAAGCACAATATTTTAATGAAGGAAACTGTCTGAGAAAAAATTAGACCTATCATTAAAGGTAGAGGCCAAGACATTTAATCATCTCTGGTTAATGAATGCCAGATTCTGAATTCAGATTCCAAATTAAAAAGGATTTTTTAACTTCCATTGACCATGCATTATTTTAAAAAGGAGTACCTATATGCTGTCAGGCAGAACATATTCAAACCATTTACAAATATGTTTCATAAATACAATCTAGTGGTGCAACAGCTGGGTAAGTGATAACACTTGGTCTTAGGGTGCATCTGCGGTAGCGTCTTATTTTGGATGAGAAGCATGCTTTTGAAGCGAATCTTCAAGATATTCTTGCTTACTTCAGCATGGTTACTGCCATGGAGCAGTTGTGGAGCTTGTGAATTGAATCCCTTTAGGTGAAACTCAACAGGAGGGTGTGCTCCTTGCCAGGAGCACAACGTAAGTCCTCCAGATGGAAATGGGCCGATGGTCCATGGGACCAGACCTGTGCTCGTACAAATAAAACATTTCTGATGCTGGATAGTGTAGATGTCAGGACCACACCCTTCTCCTCCTTTGTGCTTTTTTTTCTCATGAAGAAAACATCCCTCAAACTGAATGACTCCCTGGATGATGAGAAGCTGTTTTGCAGATGTCCCAATATACTGCCTTTGCCTTCTGGGTAGCTTAGGCACGGTTCTCCACCTGATTGCTTACATAAGCAAGCTGTTGATTTGCAGTGAATCAAAGGGCTTGTTTGGGTAACGATTGGAAGGTCTGAGTTCTTCTGTTAGCATAAGGTAAAGAAATAACTAACATAAGAGATCTCAAAATCAGTCGAAGGTAAATTATGTCAGATCTTACGTCTTTTCTTTCTCTTTACATAATATTCATGCTAGTTTCCAAGAACTTCAGGTAATGAGAAACAGCGTATTTTCATTGACTGTTCTTGATCAAGCTGCACTACATGACATGTAAATTGTGCAAGAGATAAAACTGTAATCTTGTGTTCATCTCATAGGTAGAATAAGGACATGCATAAGTAATTTCTCCTTATGCTGCATTTACCGATGGAGAACAGAGCTTCACTGCGATAACGGGGCACCCAGCCAGGGTTAGGACTTCTCTGTTTAATCTTCCTTTGTTTCATATCTCTTGCAACTTCTTCCCTAGGGAAGAGATTGTGTCTTCCTACATGTCTCTACAATGCTTTCTGTTACGAGATCTTCGCTGATGCCTCTGGGAACTCCCGGAGAAATAACTCATAATAACATTATGCCTGCTAAGAAAGAAAACAAAATAAGATGATTTCTCAATAGCTGACCATAATAGTGATAAGAGTTATCCAGATTACAACCAACACCAGGCACTGAGCTGGTTTTGTGACTCTGATGGAGTACATCAATCCTCAGCTTCAAGCTGCCTACCTGGCTGAGCGGTGGTTGCTTGAAAATTTGTTAAACTTCTACAGGTTTTTCCCTCCCATGTGTTTTTTGTTAGCAGAACCAATTATCAGGGTAATAGGTCAATTTAGAAAATAACAATATATGGAACAGATGAAGGAGATTGCTTGGAGGTAATTGCAGGCAACCCTCTTTCTTCAAGTCAGCTGTTTGCAGGATGGCTCTGCAGTGGTCCTGGAGCAGTGGGCCCTGCCTGCTCTTCACATGGGAGAGCGCACATCGTTGCCCCTGGCTGCAAAATCCTCCCGCAGCTACATGTGCATAGGCCTGTTTTACTGCTTTGAGCTTCAGGCTGTGGTATGTGCCTCAGGCTTAGTACCCTACAGGGATTTTTACTTTTCTCACATATGGAAGTTAGCCTGGAGCTTTCTCAGAAGCAGCTTTCTTAGGAAAAAAGCATTCCACTTATTAGCCCAGACTTTCTGGAGATGGGTTTAAGGTTATTTCTTGCTAGGATTTTTGCAGTTCTCTGTAAATATCTTTATTCTGACTGGTCCTGAATGTGCCTCTTAAATGCATCCCTGAAGAATCCTGACGTTTTACCGACTGCACCTGGGGAAGGACCCTCCACTCCGGCAGGTCCTCTCAGAGGGAGGGAGGGACCCTCTGGTAGAGCAGACACACAGGCATGTCCATGCACCGACCTCTGCATGAAAAGGTTTCTGTCTCCCTGCTGAAGCCACGCTGAGGGCAGCTCCTTGGGTGTGGAGAGCCCTTGCAGGCAGAGTCACTGCTGCGCCAGGGCTGGGAGCCGGGGCTTGCAGAGCGAGAGGTGCTTGCCCAGAGGAGCACGCACTGAAACAGGGAGTCTCTGCAGCACCCTCCCTCTTGTAAATTGCCCGTTTTTAAAGTCTCTTTCTTATTGCTCTTTCGGTTTCAAAAAACAGTTGTTCAATGACAGCACACTCAGATCCTTTCACTCTTGTACCATCGAGATGTCTGATTTTTATGATTTTCAATGTGCGTGGATATGTGTGCTGACACGTCCCTCTCTGACAGTTTGTAAGACTAATTGTTTATGGTTGTTTTTTTCTGCCTATTTGCTGAACTTATTTTTTTCTTACCATGAGCTGGCATCATGCAGATGTTTACCAGCAGCATGAAAGTGAAAAATTGTTTCACATTCATGAGAAATACTTCCCAGTATTTCGGTAAATACAGCTTTTGCTGTATGCTCAAAGCTTGTTTTTACT